AGAAATTCCACATGGATAATTATCTAAGTTTCTGTGATTAATTTTTAACGTTCAATAGTGAAATTAGTCATTCAACCTGAGGTTATTATAGTGCATTACATGGGGACAGTCATACTTTTGTGATGTTGAATGATACTTTGCCAAGAGTTGCTTATATAACATCGTTCAAGTATGTTAAGAATTATATGAAGGTTGTGAATAATTTATAGAGGATTCGTCGCTCTTATATAGTAAGGGATTATGATCTACATTTCATTCAATTAAATTGATAACGAATCATTGGTCCAAGTGTACTCATAAGTTGAAAAGAGTTTTTGACTTACATTAACTTAAAAGTATGATGAAAGATATGATCAATAATCGAGATCGATACTCTTCATATCTTTAATTGATCGGATCATATTAACGATGATATTATAGATTTACAGTAAACGAACAAATTTATTTTCTCATATCACCCAACATTTTTCATCACATGTATTGTCTTGACACATTGTTAGATGTTAATATGAGACGATGGATGTGAAGTAATGATAAAAACTCGTGGCTTAGGTATACCTTAGGTAAAAAATGACCCGAACTCTTTGCTCAGGTTGAGCTGAGCTGAGTTGAGCAAAAGCTTGACACAGTCATACATAACACGGAAATCATATTTGGAAAGGATGGACAATTAGTTAGAGGAGCAGGTGCTGAAGCAAAACTGATTGCAATTGGATCCGTTCTTCATATACAAACTTGAGATTTGTTATCCCACGTAAGATTGGTTTAGAATCACAGGATCATTTTCTATCATATAGGACAACTCGAGGCTTTATGAAGCCGAATCAGCTTGTTATTTATTTTTATTTTTTTAAATCAGCATAATTGCATATTAAAAAGGCAATTGTGGAGCTGCCTATCTAAAGACAGTCGTCAAAGCTGCTTTAGCAGATAGCTACTATTGCCCGATTCATCAAACAAGGCCATTTTTTGCCTGTGTGGCTCAATGAGTCACAAGAGCCAGCTTGAGCTCGGGTCGCCTATCAAAATAAGACTTGGCCCGAGCATTGGTTCCCTTCCTTCGAGCCACAAGTCAGGTCAGGTTATGCTTTTTCCAAGTTGAGCCACGGACCGCTCGAGCCGACGAGCCAAACTAACATCCATAGATTATATTAAAATAATAATTCATATTGTTAGGTATCGTGTTCAAGAACTTTACAGGTCATACACAAAAGCAAATCTAGAAAAATGATATTTATTAATTAATTGATAAACGTTGGACAATTAAATAATTGAGTTGCTTGTTAATATGCCCGAGTTAATTAACGGACCAAACTTAATTAATTAGATTAATTCAATATTGGTCCCAATAAGTTTAAGGAATGAGTCGAACTCACCTAAACTTTTATTAATAGGTTGTTAGGAAACAAATAATACAACACAATTATTATCTTGCTAGCACAACAAGAGAGAAATCTTAATTCTCTTATTCTTGTTTCCTGTATGGGTTTTCATTGAATGTTGGACAATTTGATAGTTTTAAAATAAGCGAAGAAGTTTTCAAAATTTAACAAAGGTATAATTTCTATCGCAATTTCTGTCTAAACACAAAGTAAATTCTTGTTGAAATTAAAATTAATTTTATTTTTCGTCATGTATGATTAAGTAAAATTCCAACTCCACGACCCATATTTATTTTCTTTACCTCTGTTTGCGTGATGTTAAAGTTCGCTCATGTTTAACAACGTGAGAGTTTGGAGATTTAATGATTTCTTCAACAGCATCCAACTAAGAAACTTTGTCCACTTCATAGCCGGACTTCTGAATCACAAAAAGATGACTACCAATGTATTTTGATCTATTTCAAGAGTCCGTCACGTGGACTTTTTCGAGAATAACCAATGTTATTGTCTATAGTAATTCCATCTGATTTTATCAAAGAGGTTATTTCAAGTTTTTGTGTTGATAACATATATTTTGATCCTTTACTAAAACTCAAACCTTGAGGAGATACAAGAATTACTGAACTATTAGATCAAATGCTTCGCAGTTATGAAAAGGGAAATTATAGAGCTGAACCTAAAAATGAACTGTAAAATGAACATAAAATTTACAAAATATACCAGAAATACATTCCAACCCATGTGGGAAGAAGAACATAAAGAGGAGAGGGAAGGGGGGAGGGGGGGTGTGGGGACAAAAATTCTTCAACCTAGGATAGGCTCTTCACTTCGGCACCCCCAGCTTCTTGTTCAGCCACTGAAATCATTCCAGGCTCCTTGCCCAGTCTGCTGCAAAGAAATCTCTATAAACTACAAGCAAAGGCGGATTCTCTGCTCCTCCCTCTCCTCACTGGTTACCATAGTCGACGCAGCAAGATCCCTCTCAGCTAAACATCTCTTATATGGCACAAAGCCCTTGCAGCTCATTGCTTTTGTTCTAGCTTTCTCACTTAACCTGGATGAAACTGATCCTGCTTCCTTTCTTTCCCTTTCGATGGAAAGAATACAACCTATATCCATGTTTGAACCTATTAAGAATCCATCCTTTCGATCCTCTTTCTCCTCTTCTTTCCTATCACACGATGGACGAGCCTTGATTGGAATTGGACTACGGACATGCAAAGGTGAGAGCTGCTCATAGCCAAAAAGGGATGGACATTGAAGATTGACCGGACAAGCGTCTACATTGTTTGATTCATTGTCTGTTGACTCTGTGTAATGGAATGGTTCAGGTAATCTCCGAGAAAAGCCACTCCAATTACATTCAGAATGAATCGACGAAGAACTTAGAAGCCCAAGAGTCCATGGCAGTGTCTGTAAGCATGTCCCATCTGTTCTGTCTAGTGCCTGCATTTTGCAAGTTTGAGTAGGATAAGATGGTCCCTGATGATCAGTAACGAGTAATGTCTTGCCAAACAGCTTCAAACAATTTGTGCCTGATTCATTTGATTCTTCCTTAACCAAAGCATTATCTTCATATTGCAGCTCCAATTTCTGGACAACCAAATATATTACTTTTTGATTATAACAAATAACTTCTGATGCATCAAAATTATTATAAAATCAATTAAGGAAGTACCGGAGGAGCTTGTTCATCCGGACTTGAACGAATATCATCTCGACCAGGAGAAGATTTGTATTCTTCTGACGACAAGCTAGCTATTTCAGAACAAAAAACAGCACCGCTATCGACAGCAGCAGATGAAACAGGTGATGGGCTTTCATTAGGCATATCAGAATCAGTTGTATCATCTGAACCAATTGCAGACAATACTGATGTCGGAGATTGGTTTTCCTGCCCTGAGATGGGCAGATTGGGAGATACAGAACTTAACGGTCTCTCAAGTGCAGAGATTGCAGTTTTGTCCAAAGAAACCTGCTTACGAGGATAGGGGTGCATTGGCTTCTTTTTGGGCCTAGGTGGGGGAATTTCAATTGGTTTCACAGAGCTGCCATCACCACTATTAGAATCACGAACAACCTAAGCAGAACAGATACATCTGACGTTTAACATTTAATGATTTATAAAGGTTTTAACCCCACACACGTCTGCACCACCTTGGAGTCACAAGAGATGTGACTTAAAAAGCGGCACAAAGATATAATGGGAGAGAACGAAACTGGTATAAGAGCGGTAAAGACCTTTGAGAAAAACTTTTGCGCGTGGCTTCGAATTTGCACTGCAGTTTTTGTGCCCACATGCCCTGAAAAAATTTAAAAATTCAGAGTCTCCTTTAAATACTTCAAAGACCATATCAAGCGTACCCAAGAAAACATTCATGTACAAGGAATAGCCACCTTCTATTTTTCTCCATGCCCGACCATAAAGTTTTAATGCCTCAAGAAACTTTTTATGCTCTTCTTCTGTCCATCTCTCTCTTTGTTTCGTGATTGTATATGGCTTCCTGACCTATTCAAAGAAAAAAATGAAAGATAAGTTGGCGGTCTAAAAAGTTCTCCAAGACATCAACAAATAGGGGGCGTATAAACCTTTGAAGGAAAGTCACCCTCAGCCTCAGGAGTCAACTGCTCTCTCAACAAGATACCCTTAGTAGAAGGTATACCAACTTTTAGAGAAGTTCGTTTGCTTGTAGGCAGAATAATATCTGATCCAGTTCCTTCACTTTGACCCTATAGAAAAAAAGAGTGGGTGTTAAAACATAAAATATTGAGAAGAAAACTCAAGAAAGAGTATTTCTCAAACATGTATCTTCATTGATTTTAACATATGTCAACGGCTCACAATTATCTAGCAGGAATATCATCGGTTTTCCAAATTTCTTTTTTCATGTAACAGGAACAGACAAACTTGCGACCGGCATGTCATTACCAGTAGCCATTTAATTGGAATAGGTTTAAAGCACAACATATCTTCAATTGCATTCATCGGTGAAATACTCTACGTTCCTTTACCAATGTTTGAATTGTAATTGTTATTAGATTTTCTTTGGATATAAAGACAAACCGAGCAGACATGTATCATCTTTGGGGTAAATCATACACAGAAAATTCCTATTCTATACTAATAAAAACCTATGCCGCAATCCCAGATTATACAAGAAGCCACCACCTACCGCATTTTTGTACAAGGTGAAACATATAAATCAACAACACAATTCTCGGAGAACAGAAAAACTACTAATTTATTCATATCATAAAGTAGCTCAAGCAAGTTCAGTAGCTGACACAAGGAAAATACTGATTTTGTTTTGTGGTTTTTTTTTTTTTGGCCCCTTCTGCTTACGAATAACACAATATCCACAACTATAATTTTAACAATAATTAGAAAATTGGCATCAAACGTAGCAGTTATATAGGTGTTCGAATATTTGTGCCTAGAGAAACGTACTAATTATTACTTGAAAAGCAATTTCTCCGAATCAACAATAGTCGAAATTTTCTTTTCCAGATTTCTCAATAAACATACCAAAACGAAAGAATAAGCCTTATTCAGCGAATAGACATAGGTACATAGAGCATTCACCTGTGTATCCATAGCAGCAGAAACCATCAATTCTTGAAATCGTCTTTCTGCAATTCTTAAAATAGCGTCGCTGAATGAAAATCCTTCTAAATATCTTTTTCTTAAAATCTAATTACCAGGGAACGCCTCCAAATCCCAGAAATATCAGGCTTTCCGATCACAAGCACCATATTTCCCCATGAACTAAGCTCAGAAAAATTACAATTTCAGAGAAAAATGAATAAACTGCTGAATCAGATTAGCAAAGAAAATTTTCGTGAGAAATTACACAGAGCAGCTGTTGAAATTGGGATCCAAGAAAAGGGATTGTTCCGGCACAGGAAAGGAAGTGAAAAATGAACAAAAACATCTCAAAGCCTCGATCTTTATCTGAAACCAGTGATTGGAATATGCTAGATAAAAACAGAAGGAAAGGGCCTTGATTTCCCAAAGCAAAAAAGAAAATCAAATCCAATAAAAAAGCGAGTGAACAGCAATTGACGGAGTAGGAGATAGATTTTATTCGGCTACCAAAAAATATAGAAACTGTAAAGCAAAAGAGAAAATAAATACTCCACAAACAGAGGGACTAAATTGAAAGAAAATTAATTTTAATTTGGTTTATGGGAATTGGGAGGGGAAAAAGAAGAAAAAGCGTGCATATGGGTGCCACGTCAAATGAGTAAAATGGAATTAATTCTGGGGTTTAATAGAAAGATCAAGAAAAAAACATGGAATATTGTGGCTCACGTTAAAAGAAGCCTCGACACGTGGCTTACGAATGTTACTAACGCTTTTTCTATTTCCTTTATTATTTTAAAGGGTATTTTCAAATATGTCCAATCCATGGTGTCAATTCAAAAATGTCCATTTTTAAAATTTAGTACTGAACTGTCTATTATGCTTTTAATGAAAAAAATGAAGCAATTCATTTTGTCACGAATTTCGAGAAGTAACTTTCATGAAAAGCTACATTAAAATAATGCTCTCGATATTTGAATCTCATTTCTATTTCAAAAGTATACATGTCAAATCATAACATTAAATATTCTCGACATATTAGATGTCTAAAATGACATTTCATTTCGAACATGACATTTCTCTACATTGAAAATGTAGTTCTTGACATTTCTGTGTCAATGAAAAAATAACATTTATTGTGATTTGACGTATGCACTTTTAATATAAATAGGGCAAGTTATGTGTCAAAATTTTATTGGTCAATAAAATTTTTAATTTAAAAAATGTCCATTTTTATTTATAAATTGTTAAAAAGGATATTTTGGCCTAAATTATTTCAAAAGTGGACATTTAGAGCACGATACAAGCGTGGGCCCCCCCTCATTTGAGGGGGCCGTAGCTTTGCCCTTTCTAGTAATTCCCTCTTTAATTTTTAAATGCTATCTCCCTCGAGCTACTGCCAGGGGTTGAACTACACGTGTCATAATTTTAGTGGGCTGGAATTTTTCATGGGCACTTGTTGCTCTATTATTCATTAAATTAAAAAGGGCACTTTGCAGTTGGCCAACCGTTTCTTTTTTCCTATTTGTGAAAATATAAAATTAATATTTATTTTTTCTATATAATATATTATGAGGCATCAATATGCTTCTCTGACACGACTTATACAGTAGAGTAAAATTAATGAAAAGTTGTCCCCGGACATAGTTCAATGGTGCAAAGGACAAAAGTGAGGTTATCGCACGCCTTGCTATCAGTTGCAGTGTGGGAGTTCGATTTCTGAAACATGAAATTGGACTCCTTATAGGCACAGTGTACAGACAATTTTTGTTCCCTAACCTATTGGAATACATCTCGCGATTTATCTTTTTTTACAAAGTTCTAGAGACGGGACGGTGAGAACCCTCAAAATTGGAGTTCAACCTTTTTTTTTTTAAAATTAATGAAAAGTTAAAACAAGTATTTTGTGTTGGAGAATATTTTTCTTGAAAGGATAAAATTTTTTGTGTTAGAAAAAAGAATAAAAAACTCTAAGACGTGATAATATTTTGTAGGAGGACAATTTTTACTTTTCTTGGAATAAAATAGTTAGCCCTGTTAACCTTAAAATTCAAAGAGAACGCATGATCATTAAATTTTGACACCTCTTTCGTCCATTTGCAAGTCTTCTGCACATTCTGACAAACCGTTTCATGCACATGATCGTATCTCTAACAATGGAAAAGGCGGCCACGATCACTTCGACACTCAACTTAGTCAACAGTGAAAGGTTTTAGGAATTTAGAAGGGACCATGAACGTGAGTAGTAAAACACTGTAGATTTATAGAATTACATTATCTTTGGAAGACTTTAAATTTGATGTTCATTGGATACTTGATATGTTTCTTCATTCCAATGAATTACGGGTTAGGCCTAATAGGCATCCAATCCCAATTGTTACATGCATGTGGTGACTTTTAAATGAATTGAGTATGAAAAATTGACTAAAACAGCTGTCAATCGATCAAGCGTACGGAATATAGGCTAAAGAGTTGTTATGAAAGATGCCTTATGAAGTGAAGGTCGATCTATTCCGAAATACACTATAGCAACTTATAACGTCTCACCTTGAACATGAAGTTTCGGATAAGGTGATTTCATTTTGAAGAGACACCTAAATTATCTCATCCTTCTACCTAATAGCTTCCGTCAACGTTTAGGTAATTTGGAGTGCGAGCCTTGAGTGACTTCTTACTCTTTTTAGCTAGCTAGCACGTGACCTATCTTGTTAAACGAGACATAACAAGCTTTATTTTAAATGTTGAAGTGTTGATTGGCATTGCTTAAACAAAAAGTATATTGATTATTTAAAAATTTCAGCAATACATATACACATGAGTGATTGCCTTTATTAAAAAAGGTTGAACCCCAACCTTGAGAACTCCCAACGTCCTATTCCTAGAGTTTTGTGAGGAAAGTAAATCACGGGATGTGCCCCAACAGGCCAGGGAACAAGAGCTGCATGTACATCGCGCTTATAACGAGTCCAATTTCATGTCTCAAGAATCAAATCCCTATACTGCGGTTGCCAGCAAGGCGTGAGATAACCTCACTCTCGTCCTTTGCACCACTGAACTATGTTCCGGGAGCGAGTGATTGCCTTTATTATTCCTATATCATGTTGAATCTGTTTCAAATTGGTAAATTGATCCCGTTATGTTACTAGAGTTTCAAACTGAGACAAAGATGTTGGGATATAAATATATAATTTAATGAAAACCATAATATTAGTACAAGGACTTTATAAATATACAATTTTTTAATACTTTTTAACCATATACTCTTCAAACTGTCACTACTCAATTTTCCTTTTTTCCAAAAAAAAAAAAAAAGACTCTTAGCCCATGTTTGAGCCACATTCTGGGAAATAAAATGCATTATTCATGTCAAATCAATGAGAAATGTATGGTTAAAAAATAAGAAAAAAATTTAGATTTGGGTGTAATATTATTTTATTGAAAAATATGTAGTTGAAATGATATCAAATCACTGTTGAAAAATATATATTTTTTTTAAAATAATATAACTCAAACAAGACCTTAATAATTTCGGCCCAAGTACAGTTTTAATTCACAAGTGGTACTGTTTGAAATGAGATGTTTATGTAAAGTAAATGTAGCGGGCCATACATTCATTTACAATCACCCTGTCGCTTTTGCAACTTGCATTCCCACTCCATCTCCCACATGAGACACATAAATATCCACCCAAATATATTTTCAAAGAACAATATTCAATATCAACGACTATTCCAACCATGTATCAAATATAATCTTTGTTTGATTCTTTTTTATTATAACTCATTTTTAATCATACATTTCATGAGCCCATAATTTTATCAATTTTTTACTCATATATTTAACTAATTTTTATCAAAATTTACAATAAATCCAAGATTTGTTTGAGCCCCATTTTTTCTTTTTAAAAATATATTTTGCAATAGTGTTATGAGGCTTAAAAAATAAGAAAATTTTTGAGTTTGTGTATGATATTATTTTATTGAAAAATATGTGCTTGAAATATGATCAAATAACTGTTCAAAAATAAATTTTGATGAGAAAAATAGGCTCAAACAGGAGCTATTAAAATCAAACAGGGACATAATATAACCTTTGTTCTTTAGAATAATTTTATGAAAAAGTAATTTCTTTTAATAAAGTATTGTTGAAAAGTAAAAAAATAAAGTTCGAGTTTACATGTAAATGTATTTTATTGAATGAATACGTAATCAGAAACATTTTTAAAAAAAAAATTATGTTTAGAAAAGAGACTTCAATAACGTGTTTGTCAATAAAAAATGAGGTATATCGGAAATACTGACTAGTAAATGAATTAATTATACGATTGTCTCACATGTCACTTCGTCGTAAAAGCATTTTTGAAGCTAAAATTAATAAATGGACAATTTATTTTATTATTATTAATTTTTTTCTTGATAAATATATAAGATAGAAATATCTATAGACTCTAAAATATTGTAAGCCAAGAGTTGAGGATGAGACGATGATACCTTCCTATATTTTCTCCATTAATTTATGCTGGCAGGTGGTGGGTACTTTTCCTTTTGCACTTTTCCTACACGTCACCACCATTCACACGTCTATTGTTCGAGAGTGGGAGACCTATCGATACGGATATGAATGACTCTGTGCCACACGTTTTTCTGGTCCTTGAATAATGTCAAAAATTATTGGCCACAAGATTTATTTATTGCAAAGAAGGACAGGTGCCCTATGTTTTGAAGCTTTCGGACAGAACAATCTAGTTCAAGATCTTTTGGTTAGATACGGAATATGTGGCTGTTTTTGGTGCGATACAAATTTTGCCATTGTTTAAAAAGGTTGAAACCCAACCTTAGGGGTCCTCACCAACCCTATCCTGGGTTATCGTGGAGGAGGTAAATCGCAGGATGTGCCTTCCATGAGCCAGGGTGGAGAGCACATGAATAGACCAAGGTTGTTAACCCATATGGTAACTCCCGCTTGCAACAAAGTCAATTCCACCTTGCGAGGAATCGAACTCTGTACATTGCCGCGCTGAGCCCTATCCGTCCTCTCCTTTGCCACTGGGAGATAAGCCCTGGGGCAAATTTTGCCATTGTTTGCTTCTTTGACAACTTGATTCACTGTACATGAGTTGACAACCATTATGTCCATTTATTAAAAAAATTATTTTTAAAATTAATGATTAAATTTTTTTTAACACAATTGTTGTCATTGTGCAAATACATTGTACAAATGACTTTATTCTTGTTATATTTGGTGAAAAATAAGTTTTTATTATAATTTGATAAAAGTTAATAAAATATTCGGTTCAAATTGATTAAAAATTACGAATTTCATGAAAATAATTTTAAGCAAAAATAAATTTTAAATAATTAGGGTCAATCATAGGCTTTTTAAAATTTATCTTTTTATCAAATTTATTGATATTAATTTTCAATATAATAATTTTAAAGTAAATTTAGAACTTTCTGCTTTTTACCACACCGGCAAAAAATTCATTTTTTACAAATATATTCTCGAAAAATCTCTACCAAACAGGAGTTAATTTTTACTTACATATATTTTTCATTTTTGAGTTCTCTGCCCAATTTTTATT